GTGCCTTTTTGTTCGAAAACTATAGGCCTCGGAAAATCACATGATCGGAAAATCGATCCTACGCCCTGTCAATCTGAATCTCGATATGGTTGAAGTTAAGCTCAAAGCCAGTCTATACGTATAAATTCTCTCGGTATTGATGAATTTATTAATAAAACTCTCGATATAATGAATTATTTATGAAACGGTATAACGAGAGTGAGTTGTACGTACGTACGTAACGACCGGGGCTAGTTTATATAATTTTAGATGCATATTTACACATGACAAATCGTGTAACTGTTAAGAAATTTTATATACGCAATTAAAGCAATATTAGCGTTAGCAGAAAGCTAACGATAATTCTAGTTAAAAAATTTATGTACAAAATATGACTATATACTGAATACACTTTATGTAAAATTCGTTTAAAAAACGTCTTTAATTATATACTTACGTTTCAAACAATTTATAAATCTATCAATATGCAAACAAAATTCAGGTATTAAATAGTTGCTGTCAATCTTTTAAATTAATAAAATAAAATATCACGCATATAGTGATTATTGAGAGAATGATAAGGTATAAACTAAAAAAAACATTCATTATACACAACATAATTCCCTTTACCGTGCCCTTACAATTGAACATGACCAATCACAATAATATCGTCTATATGAATTCTTGTTTTTTTTTTTTTTTTTTTTGATCATTTCTCTTTTTTGCATTTAAAAAAGGTGGTATGTATTATTTATAAATCGAAGATGAAAAAATGTATACTAGGGAAAGTAAGGAACAACAATAAAAAAGGACTCCTTTAAAGATGTACCATACCAACACACCACACCTCTGAATAAACAGAACACCCGGAATGGAAATCTCATTATGCAAAACGTAAAAACCATCAAAGAAGCAACATTCAAGGGAAAATATACTTGCAAATGAACAAATAAGAAAAAAACTTTGCCAATGGAAACATGAGGGCCTGACTTTATATATGAAGTGTATAAAAAATTATTTATAATAATAATGTTACTTGGGATCTTCAGTTTCGACTTCTTGTTTAGCTTCTTCTGGTTTCTCTCCTTCTAATTTCGAAGAAGCAATTACAGTTAGTTTTGGAAAGTAATCAACTATAAACATGAACTAAAAACGGTTCTAACCATCTTGTAAGTCAGAAGTCCAAAGAGTCAAGTTATCTCTCAGCAATTGCATAATCAACGTACTGTCCTTGTACGATTCTTCACTTAGAGTATCGAGCTCCGCAATAGCATCATCGAATGCTTGCTTGGCAAGATGACAAGCACGATCGGGCGAATTGAGAATTTCGTAGTAGAAGACAGAAAAATTTAGAGCAAGTCCGAGACGGATTGGATGGGTTGGGGCAAGATCAGTCTGAGCGATATCAGTTGCGTGTTTATAAGCTTCGTGCGCTTGAGTAGCAGCTTCTTTTCGCCTCTCACCGGAGGCGAACTCTGCAAGGTATCGGTGATAATCACCTTTCCTATTATCAGAAATGACGGTTAAAGAATATTAGTTCATAAACATCCGATGGGAAGCATAATATAAAAATGAATCCGAAAGGTTATTCCCAAAATATACTAATAATGTTCCGCAAATAGATTGAATATATTTAATTGATCGTAACCATTTAGGTTACGAACCTTATCATCAACTGTACGTTGACCAACGCTTAATAGAATGCGTTCCAGGAAATAATATGGGTGACAGAATACAATTAGAATAGGTAATTGAACTCACATTTTGTAGTAAAAGACCTTGGATTCACCGGCTTCGGCAGATGGAATCAGATGTTCATCTAACACAGCAAGGATGTCTGAGCAGACTTCAGAAAGTTCGGTCTCGACCTTTTGGCGATATGCTTTAATCTTTTGAACTTGGGTTTCATTGCCTTTATTCTCTTCTTTTTGTTCAATAGATGAAATAATCCTCCAAGATGCTCGGCGAGCACCAATAACATTCTTGTAAGCCACTGAAAGAAGGTTGCGCTCTTCAACAGTAAGTTCTACTCCGAGCTATGTATCATTAACAATCATTACATATAAAAAAACTGAGATGAAAATTTGATGGAGTGCAGCCAAATTAAAACCTGGTCTGAACTTAAAATTTACTAATGATCTGTTACTGGTTTTAATTTAGAGACACTCATGCGTGAAATAAATAGAAATAATGTTCTCTACCTTAGCAACATCCTACAAATTTAGAGAAATACAAATGAGATTAATGTAAAATCATTATTGCAAAATTTATTGTATTATAAAGATACATACCTTCATGTAGGAAACCATTTCTGATCAAATATAAAATGCGAATAACAGTTTGGAATCCGATTAAGATCTTCTTTTAGTAAAATCACAATACAAACAAAGCGAAAGTGTAATTGATTTAATAAGAGAACATTACCATCGTAACGTTCGGCTTGCTCAGCGAGCTTAGCCATGTAAACCTTTTTGTTGGAGGTCAGCATCAAGTAAAAATTAAACAATTTTTTGTCACATTTTCCTAGACAGATTATAAAACATACAAAACAAAGAATAATTGGTAGTTAAGGCTTTACGCGGTTAAATACCTGGTTTTCGCGTTCCTGAAAAGGGAAGGTAAAACCGTGGTTAGAAAAATTGAAGAGCCAACCTTAAGCAGGCTAGTAATGAAGTGTTGACTCATATAAAGAAGACGAAGTAAATTTTTCATATTCTTTGGCAGAGTTCAAA